AAAGTCAGAGAGAGAACCAGACATATTGTAAATTTTAATATTATAATAATGGAGCTCCTTTTAAATTACACTTAGGCACAGTCTCTGTACTTTTCCAGCAGGAGCACTGCCAAGTATCAATTCTCACCCCACTCTGCTAGTGGTGATGGACAAAGAAAAGAATAAAAGATAATAGAACCATTTCAACTAAAAGAGACTTAGAGTGATCATCTAGTACCAGCTGTGAAATATTTTCTATTATTTAATACACCATATAATATTGGAACTGCAGGAAAACATGCCAGATGGTGCTGAGGCAGAGGGGGGTGAGAAATGGATGGATCTGAAATTTATGAATGGAAGAAGAGAATATGAAGGTGTGTATACAGGTATGTAACATTTACATAGATGTGTTTATATTCATTTTCATACCTCCATCACTATGCTATGAGTATTTCTTGTATATAACATGTTCACCTTGTGTGTATTGTTTCAGAAAAATACCTTATGAATCCTCTTGCAGGGATCCCCACATGCTGTACTCTAATATTTGAATTTTAATTTCAAAACCATTTGGCTGGTGACATTTACAGAAGGGTTTTGGAGAGGCTGGAGTCCATTGTCAAGGACAGAGGAAAAAATGTGAGAGCAAAGAAACAAAATCAATAGAAATCTCAGTTCTTTATTTGTGAATTTGTAGAAAAGTTGACCTCTCTAAAATACTAAAACAGTGACAGTGTAAGACCTGGCACAACCAGAAATTGAACTAAAGGTCAGCTGTAACTTCCTGACTACAAAGTTTTATTGAATCAACTGAATTCTGCTGAGTGTTGGCCTTTGATCTCCCCATGCATGTTCCTCTATTGACTCAGTTTTCTTGTCATCAGATACAAACCACTTGTCTTTAACTCTCAAAACTGCATAAACCTATTTCCCACGGGTCTCTTGTTGGCTAAATCTGCCAAGCCTCGACAGCCGCTTTCTTCTCCTCAGCTGATGTGGTCCCAAAGAGGAGCCACAAAACTCTCTGTGCCTGTGCTCTCCGTGTGTTGGGAGAACAGAAGAGAGGAGACTTGTCAGAAACAACCAAGCACGGGATTCTCTTTGCCTTTCCAGGCACTCATTGGCCACTTCTGCAGCCTGACCTCAGTCTTAACACATTAAACCAACCCAGCCACTCACCCCCACTGCCTCCAGTTAATAAAAAGCTGTTTGAAACTTGATGTTTTTCTTCCAATGCTAACTCAGGCTATACCTTCCACTATGCTTCAAAGCAAACCTGGACTATTCCAAATAGGCTGTTCTACAGAATGTATCAAGTTGGGGGTGGGGGGAAAGAAAAGGGGCAGGGAAAACTTAAAAGAGCCTTTGTGATTTTGTGGCGGTGGTGCTGCAGGCAGGGGAGACTTTAGCCGCCGAAGCCGTAGAGAGTGCGGCCCTGGCGCTTGAGGGCGTAGACCACGTCCATGGCCGTGACCGTCTTCCTCTTGGCGTGCTCCGTGTAGGTGACGGCGTCGCGGATGACGTTCTCCAGGAAGACCTTGAGCACGCCGCGCGTCTCCTCGTAGATGAGCCCCGAGATGCGCTTGACGCCGCCGCGCCGCGCCAGGCGGCGGATGGCCGGCTTGGTGATGCCCTGGATGTTGTCGCGCAGCACCTTGCGGTGCCGCTTGGCGCCGCCCTTGCCGAGCCCCTTGCCGCCCTTGCCCCTGCCAGACATTATGGAACTTCTGCTGCTGCCCCTGCCACCAGGACTGCCGACACTGCTGGTCTGATGGAGCGCCGCCCGCGCCGCGGTTTTTATGGGGTTCGGTCCGACCTGGTTGAAAACTTCACAGAGGCGGGGGGGGGGTCCCGCCATTTCCCTGTTGCGTCACCGATGACGGAACACCGCTCGCTGTTGGCTGTTTGGGGGGCTGCAGTGTCTGGCAAGTACAGCAAAGAACAAACCTCCTCCAGGAAAAGAATTCCGGCTATGTGCGTGTTCATACAGTTGGAAAGCTTCCCCCCCAGATTTGTATAACCCATTTGCATATATGCACGTATTATATCTATTTGCACTGGCAGGGGTTGGTGTGAATTACTTCAAATTTTCATTATTTTCATGCTGTTGATCATTAATATTTCAGGTTAATTTTTATTCAAAGTGCTATAAATGTTGCTTCAGGATTTGTAATGATCTGTGATCGCTTAACAGCTTTAAATAATTTTTTCAAGTTTCCAATATTTAATTTTATTCATTTCTTTATTTTGATCTTTACCTCCCATTTTTAACTATTCCAATTTTATATCAGCAACGTTTTGTCTGTAATCACATATTAACCCAAAGGTGAAATAGAACCTTTTTCGTATTATTAAAGTTATATTAGTTTGTGACTTCTGTTAATTTTGCTCATTTTGAGTTACTGCAGTGCGGTGATATTTGGGCTTTAATTTTTTTGCAAAATGACTTTTACTATAACTATAGACTGAAATTTCTGCTCCTTGATTAATAAAGAAATTACTCTGCTTTTTACTAGAGATTAGGCTTTTCTATTTAATCTTTTTTTGTGTGTGTGTTTATGTGTGTGTGTATGTATATCAATACTGATATTCTGAATTATCTTCTGTGAAAGTCAGGAGTGGTCTTAGGATGTTCCAAATGTCTATCTTTTTGTGTGTGTGTGTGTGTTTATGTGTGTGTGTATGTATATCAATACTGATATTCTGAATTATCTTCTGTGAAAGTCAGGAGTGGTCTTAGGATGTTCCAAATGTCATCATGTAAAAACATACTGAGCTGGTTCAGCTGAAAATCTGATCTCAAAATGATGTTGTTCTTCTCTTGTGCTTTTATGTATTGAAGGAAAATGTAATTTCTATGTACTCTTTCATAGTGTTAAAGTTTAAAAAAATAATTAATTGCATGTCACTTTGAATTTAGGTCAACATTAGTCAAGAAAAATATTGCCAGACATTATATTTTAAGAATATATATGAATAAAATTCTGGAAATATGTTTGTACTTTCAAACTAATAGTTTTGCATTTAGGGTAAGTATTGTATAATTTTTTTGTATTCCTTATTTTCCACCCACTGCCAGCTGGTGCCTCCTTCCCCCTTTGAAATGTTCTGTGTCACTCTCCAAGGAGGAATGGAAAGGCACCAAGCCCCCTGAACGAGCCAGGCTGTGCAGATCCTGCTTTGCACTGCCTTCATGCCCCTGTCGTCTGCCATGCTGGAAACACAGGTCCCATCTGGAGGGAATAAATAAATCCTTCCCTTGCACTGCAAACCTGGGCACTTCTGCTGGACCAGCCTGTTGCCACGAGAGAGCTCAGAGGAGAAAGGCAGAACCCCCACGAGCTGGAGGAGTGAGGCACTGGGAAGAAATCTGTGCTTATTTCAACATCAGGGAGACGGAGGGGTTACCATGGTTTTACACAAGAGAGCTGCACCAGTGAATCATCAGATTTCCTCAGATGATCAACAAAAACTGACTTCTTCCTGAGCAAGGCAGATGAAAATGAGGGCTGGGGAGGACGGGCCGTGTACACATGAATCAGCAACTGGCAAAAACTGGAGAACAAATAGAAGAGTTTGGAGATAGCAACACACTCGAGATGATTTCAACCAACCTATTCCCCCCAGGGACTGGGCAGGGGGCAGCATTGATATTGGGCATATAGAGACCTGTAATGAGAATTTCGTTTCTACTGTGATTCAACTGTGCTTTGGAAATGCTTTGTTATGCTTGGCTGCAATTTCAGTAATGTATCCTTCTGCTAATTAAAAATACAATCTAACACTAAATATGCTCATTAGGAAAATTTAAAATTAAACATCAAAGCCTCCTCATGTAATATCTTAAAGAACCTGGATGGAGAGTACTCAACTGCTAGAGCATGGAGATGGGATCAGCCAGGACCTGCCTCCACAAAGGGCTGTAAACTGCACAAGATCTCACTTCTCTGGCAGTCCTTGAGCTACTGAATCTGCCCCAGTGGTCTTTGTTCTCTGCATCCCCGTGCCCACACAGCACACCTTCAGTTCAGCCGTGCTAGAAAGCTGTGCTTACTAAAATAGAGCAGCCCACGTCACTTTGGTAAGAAATTTTTTAAGCACAGAAAGCTCTGATTTTGAGACTGAGGCACAAAAGTCAATATTTGCATGTGTGGATTTACCATTTGGATGGAATCTTCTGGCAGCAGAATAAATGCAGAAATGCTTTATGCTGTCCAAGCAAAAGTAGCAAATGCCACAAATTTTGTTTAGTGACTGCTACACTGATAACTAATTTAGTATTTTCTCTGCCTTTCCCTGCTAATTCAGTCAGTCAGAGGTGGAGAGACCCATTCTCATCTTTTTATTTAACCACTGCAGCTGGTCAGAGATAAGAGTTTGGGCTTTAGCCCTGGTTTGGGCTCTTTCCAACTTCCTTCTTGCTGCCAAATTCAGAAAATACACAAGGATTGATAAATCAAGAAAAGACCTCTGTCATGGCCCAGCACCTTAGGCTGACCTTTGAGATGCAGTTTGCCATTCACACAGAGTGGCTTACAGATCAGATGATCCACACAGAGGCAAAATCTTCCCAAAATTGTCTTGTGGGCATGCTGTCTGAGTCTCTGCACGGGCCTCACCCCCATCACTCCATGCACGAGCTGAGGCCTTGCAGGCTCACTGAACAGCTGGAACAGCTGGTACAGCTTAATAGGTCCAGGAAAAAAGGCTGCAGGAACTCCTAGATGAGGTTTGGGGTGTTGGGAAGTTAATGAAATACCCAGTTTTTCACATGAAGCTTTTACAGGGTATGGGAGAGAAGGAACAATAACCTGTACGGGGGGGCAAGGACAACAACATTGAGCAAATTCTGGCCATGGCCACAGCATTCCTGGCTTCTCTGAGGAAAGCACCAGAGTGCTCTATCTAACAAGTGCTCCAGGGGGGCCTTGGAGCTCTGAGCCCAGCAGCACCCATGCAAATCTACTCCTGCATTCTGGCAGAGACACAGTAAGCAGCAAACCAGCGACTCAGCAGCCCCAGCTCGCACGGATGCTCAGGAGCTTTGCTTCTCTCAATCCTTTCTCTTCTTCCTAAACTGGCGTTTTGACTGAAGCAGCACAGGTCTCACGATGCACAGTCCCTTGGTTAAGCTAGAAAGATGATTCCAGGAAGAATTGTAAGCACCACACTTTTTGCACAGCTGAGAATGAGTAGCTGAGCCCCTCTTGTTGCCTGGGCTCGTGCAGAGCTGGGCTGGGCTGCACGTTTTTCAGCTGAACTCTGCCAACCCTCACAGGGCTGCAAGCACTTAAAAGCAGCTGAAGTGCTGCCTTGTCCAAATGCTCTCTCTGGGGCATGGTTTTCCAAGTGCAAATCTAATGTGAGCATCCTTGTAGGAATTTATTGAATATTGTCTTGGGCTATGCGTTTCTGCAGGAAACCAACTCTGAAAAATGGCAATGTGCCTTTGGTTAGTGACTCCAGACACTGCTGCTGTGCTCTGTTTTTGTTACAGCAATAATTGGTTGGAAAACAGAAAAATTCCAGTTGAAAACCCCAGGCACTTACAGGGATTTATTCGTGGTCATGCTCTGGACAAAGCAGCTCATCCTTAAGGATAGAGCAGTTATGGAATTCCCCACAATGTCCAGGTCCTGCCCAGGTCAGACCAGCCATCCCTGGGCTGTGCTGAGGCAGTAGCATGCAAGTGCCTTCATGTGCACAACTTGGCACTTCTCTTCAACAAACTGCACAAGATTTCTGTCAGCCCATGCCTCAAGTTTATTAACATCTCTTTTGTCTGAAAGTATTTATTTTGACCCCGTCTAGCCATCTTCACTTTGTGCTTGCCACACTAGCTAAGTGCACACTCTGCCTCAGCACCCAGGTTGTTCCAGAAAACACTAAATAAAACCAGCCCTGGAGCACTGTTTTGATAACTGGTTGTTTGCAAACACTAAGTTGTTGACTACAGCCCCTTGGCCCTGTGCTACAGACAATTTTCAAATATCTAAGAGCCTGCTGATCCCGCCTGTTGTTGCTCTGAACCCAAACAAGAACACTTGGGAGATGGTTCCAAAAACATATTGAAATGTCAAGTATATTGCATACAAGTTTCCTCCTTTTTCCACACAGATAATCTTTAATCAACAGTTCAGTGATAATGACCTATACCTAGACATGAGCAATTTTTGTTGCACTCCATCCACTATCAAGACAACAGAACCCATTTTATTTCTGAGATGTAATCACTCTGCTTCTTGGAGAGTGCTGACATTCCCTGTAACATTTTCCACTCCATATTAGAAGTTATTTCCTTACTGCTAACTTGCTGCAAAGATCATCGGTTCCTTTACTTTCAAAAATGTATATTAAGGAAAAATGGCTTCCTTGCTCATAATGTTTTAAATGTTTAAGGAGAAACTTTAGTTTTGCAGCATTCTCTTTCAGTCAGGGTACTTCAATAACACTTGCCTTTTCATCAGGGAAGAATTTTTAGACATCTGAAAATCACTATTTCTCCCTTCTGTGTATTGACTTACGCTCACTTCTCACTACCTGAAATTTGGAACTAAAAAAAAGGCTAAAACTCCAAATAGGAGTTTTCTCCTATTAGACCATTCCTGTCTGCAAAGATCTTCTCCAGCTGTCTCAGGGAAGCAGTCACTGTGATCTTTTTCTGCCAACGTAGTGGTTTGATTCATTATCAACACAGAACTACCATCTGAAGATCCAGATCTACTGAGGTGCTCGTCAGCTCCTGCTGACTGTAGCACTTTTGCAATATTTCCTAATACTTGTAAAGCTGATACAGTTTATTCCAGGTGAAGAATCTAACACATATTTGAAGGCAGTGTCTCTTATCCAGCATTTTTCAATACATAAAATGTCCTCAAACATTTTAATTTTTTTCTAGTTGATACTCACAGTATCTATATGCAAGCTCTGTAGACTATAATTCAAATCATAAATAAAACTATACCAGGCCTAGGACTGCTCCCTGCAGTCCTAGGCTGTTTGAGACTGTGTTTTAATTTCATAGTTGACAAATATAAACATTTAAATATAAATTTCTACCCTGGAAATGTTGGTGTTTCCTGATTATTACTTTCATTTATAATACTTTCCTAAAATTAAACAAAATAAAACTGAGAGAAAATCTGTAGTGTATCAGCAAGTTCTAGAGAAACATTGCACCCTGTACTGAGGCTCTTCCTAAAGTAAATTTTGGAAAAAGCCTATTAAATATGGGTTTCATTTCTTCCTTTATATCTGTTTTGAGTACTGTAAATTCTAATTTTTATTCATATAAAATGAAGAAAAATTAGATACTGTTTGACCTTGTAGTTACTGCAACTCAACATCAATGAGTTATCCCTTCCTCAGTGTGTGCTGAGTCTGTAACCCAAGAAATGCACTAATCTGTAGCCCAAAATGATTTTGTGCTTAGGTCTTGGCCATACTGCTCAGAAACTAAAAGAGTAAGAGAGGCTGCACAGTCTGGGTGCATAGCTGGGCCTGCAGCATATTGTCCCAGGAAAATTTTCAGCATCCAACTTCCCTCCACTCAGAACAAAGGGCTGGAATTACTTTTGATATCTTAGGAAATGGCATCCAACTGCATGTACGTCCTGGGTCTCCCTGAAGGGGTAGGACAAAGTTATTCTATATGGATGGCATAATTTCAATTTGCATTTCTGACTAAATCAGTATTTACAATATCCATCACAAAAAAAAGGAAAAAATTAAAATTTATTCTGTTGTGCACCCCTGGGAGGACAGAGCATGTCACATAGTTTCAAATACCACATTCCAGTTCTTTCCAGGCACTCTGTAAAGGTTGCAGGTAGTGTTTCATTTCCATATTTTTGCATGTAGATTCCTATGTTTCTTCATCTTTCTGCACTTACCTTCTTCTTCTTTTTCTTCAGCTTTCTTCAGAAATCAATACAAAGTTAGTTGGTCTGTGGAACAAGGTAACAGAATCCTGCTCATTACTGAGGTTCCTAAGCTTACCAACACTACTACTACTACTGCTAGCAATAACTCCCAGTCCCATGGATGGGTGGATGGAGAGAAGTGAACTTTGTTTAGAAGAGGATCTCTGATCCAAAGGCTTTCAGAAGCTAGGAGGAATATTTTGATGTTTTAGGCTCTCATTATATGGGGGAGAAGAGAAGATTTGGGGGGGATCATTCATTAAAATGCACAGCCCTTTTTTGCTGGCTGGAAAACATTTAGCAGTTATGGCAGAAGAGAAACTTCTTGGATCAGTCAGTCACCTTTTGATCATTCCAGACTGCAGGAATTGAAGTTTTGCTGGGACTCTAACTAACCTTAACAAATCCTTCAGTCACATACAGCATGAGCACCGAGCCAAACTGGGGTTGCTCAAACTCATCTTGACAAGCCTTGAAACTAAGGACGATGTGAGAGGTTGAAGTGGTTTTTGAAGCTGTCTCTATTGAACTGCCAAAATTTACAAAGTCGTGGGAGTGTCGTTCAGGGTTACTCTATACATGGGCTTCACAAATTAACCCAAAGAAGGACAATGTGCAAAATGGTATCGAGGGAAATAATTGTTTCACTCAGCACTGGTGAGAGAAAGCAGAGTGCTGTGTCCAGTGCTGGCCTTCCCAGTGCCTCAGAGACACGAACAGAGCTGGAGTGGGACCAGTGAAGGGCCACAAAGGTGACCAAGGGACTGGAGCATCTCTCATGTGAGGAGTGCCTTACTAATGTTCAGATATCCTGTGGGGGGAATAGAGGACAAAGATCCAGTCTTCTCAGTACTGCCCAGGGAAGGAGGCAATGGGCACAAAGTAAAACACAGGAAGTTCTATTTAAATGTAAGAAATAATTTCTTGGAGTATGCTCCCCATAGAGGATTTAGTGTCCCCCTGCTCCAGCTGATCCTTCTTTGAGCATGGCCAGGAGCTACTGCATTAGGTGTTAGATTAAAAAATGAGATACATTTTGTAGATGTAATTGTCCTAATGCTGAAATAACTCTCCATAAACTTTCGTTAGCCTAGATGAAGTGTAACTAAAAGGATGTAGGCTTCTTTACTACTGAAACTCTGTGACACCTTGAATCTTAATCTTCCCTTCATATAAACTTGGCAGTTGCTGAATCAGTATTGTCAATATATTTTCAGCATGACAGAAACCTGACTGATGTCTTTTGACCTTGTTATGGTGTTTTTATTACTAATATTGAGAGTGATTACTTGAGCAACTGCTAAATTACTATTTATTAAGAAGACAGCATGCTTCAGTTAAAAGTTGTCAATTTCTCTGAATCTTCACTGTCCTAACTATAGTAATTTTAATTAAGTGAGTGTAGGTTTTCAGCTAAATTTGTCTAATCATCTTATATAGATTGCTCTCCTCCCGCAGTCTGGATGTCTTATTTGCCTTTATTTGTCTAATGTTTTTCCTCCTTGAAAAGCTTCTCTCTTGACAAGAAGAAAAGTTTTTTCTCTACAGTCTTAGGAATTCTTACATTATATATGAAATATTTCTGTTTGGAAGATCCCTGCATTAGAAAATACTTTGTCATTTTGTAGGTTCCTCTGTAACCTGCACTAGCACCTGCACAGCTGAGCAAGGAAATCTGGGCATGAATGTGGTGGTGCAAGGGAATGAGGCCGTGTTTTGGGTGCACATTTAAAAAGGGAAAAAAAATTGTTTGAGTTCCTAGGTAAGAGATAAACAGAGACAACAATTGTACAGGGTGCTTGGAAAGGAAACCAGGGAGAATACTGAAAAATGTTTGCTGCTTAATTAATTTAAATATTTGTTGTTACTTATTAATTATTAAATGGGTCGCATTTAAATATCATCTCTTGACATGGAAACTGCAAACAATTTTTATTACTGGTTCACTCTCAAAACTTTATTTATTTTCAAGTAATTTTGTTCAACAATGAAAATTTCTCTTTCTGGTTAAAAAAATTGTTCCCTAATCTACCACTATTTTGATAAATTATGTACTCAGATTCTTGCTTTGTTTTGTGTTTTTTCTCTTATCAGTAAAACACCCAAGGCAATGCCAATGTTATTTGTAATGATCAGTCTCTAAAATATGAGAATTTTCATTGTGGTTGAGTGTTGCATTCAACAGCTATTTCCAGCAGCGCAAATCTGAAAATTGCTCAAAGCAATTCACAAGTTTGTTTTACCCAATTAAATAGAAAGTATCGTTGCTTGGCCCAGAGTACAGGAATAATCCTTAAAAAGCCTCCCCTTCTCACACCAACTCATATTTCTAAATCCCCTCTCTTTATTAACACACACACACAAAAAAAAAAAAAAAATCGGGGAAAAAAAATGGCATTCCCCAGAAATGGATGGTGAGACCAGGAACATTTTGTGTCCTCAGAAGTAGGCCAGGGATAATTCTCTGCAGATAAGAGCCAGTGTGATGGTTAAAGAAAAGATACAATAAAGGATGCTGACACACAATGCCGGAGGCCAACTGCCAAGACTTCCAATGTCTCGGGCTACTAGGAAAAAGCAAAGGACTTCAGAAGTGCAACTCCAAACAGGGAGCAGGGAACACGAGGGATTTACAGGGATGCACCCAGAACCAAAAGTCAGAGAAGTCCTACATTCCACCCTTGAAATATGACATTGAAACATAACATGACAATTTTCACAATCCGCTTCATATGCTTTGCTTTCAAAAACAAAACAGAAGGATCCAAACAAAGAAACTCCGTAACCACCCAGAAACGTTCCCGTGCCTTTAAAACTTAGCAGGGAGCCGGGACAGCAATCCCCATGGGCTGCAGGTGGAGTTCTAAGGACTGTGCTCCCCAGGGAGGGTGATCTAACATCTCCCACCACTTTCTATCTTGTCTTTATCCCTCACCTCGGGTCTGTTCCTGGGGGAAGGGAAGGAAAGCTCTCCTCTCCTGATGGGTGAGAACAGGTTTGCCCAAAGCAAGCTGGCAGCTCAAGGTGTGAGCGTGAGGGGAGCCCCGGGGCTGCGGCTGCATTCCCGTAGGAGCGGCCATTGTCCCTCCCCGGCGCTCCCAGGGCCTTGGCCGGTTCCAAGTGTAATAAAGCAGCCACAGAGCTCTAACACCAAACTGTCAAAGCTGCAGGGATTAAAGCACATTAGGCGTCGTGCAGCCTTTATTCTCAGAAGAATGCACATCGCGTTAAACAGAGCCGGATGGATGGCAACGCTTCCCTGCTCCCTCTTGTACCGCTCACAGTCACATTCTGCTTTATCTTTGTTCATCTAGACTGGAAAATATGCATAATGCCCTCATCCTACCAAACCAAATACTTTTTTTTTTACCTCTCAAACGACTTGCCACACCAAGCTTGCAAAATCTATGGCTCCTGTGGACTCGGTGCAGTTGTTTTTGTGGGACCACAATGCCCTCATCCTCCCAAACCAAATACTTTTTTTTTACCTCTCAAACGACTTGCAAAATCTATGGCTCCTGTGGACTCGGTGCAGTTGTTTTTGTGGGACCAATGTCACGTTCAGGAGAGGCATGGCAGATCTCACAGCCCATTCCATATCCCTTTCAGTCTGTTTTTTACCGTGGAGTACCGTCAGGCCTAATTTTTTTCCACATTTTTTTCCTTTCCTTCAGAGTATTTATTACTTCACCTGCATGTAAGCACAACAAAATAAAGATAGAAATAAAAGAGAATATGGAAGAGCCACAGTTTATTGTTTTGATTTGTAATTTTGATGTGTCTACTGTATCATTATCTTTTTAACCTGTCTCATTTAAATTAAAACTTCTTGTTATCAAGTATAACTTTGTGTCTTCAACATCTAATGTATCAAAATGCATGTCAGGGCCCTTTGTAACACACCTCATGTCATCTTGAATCTCAAATTTATCCAGGCTAGAAAAGATGTTCCTTTGTTGTAATAGCCCACTGACATTTTGCATGAAAATTTTTCATAAAGTACAATGTGGTAAAATATTAAGTTTGATCTTAACTTGTTCTTTCAAAACAAAGGGGGAAAAAAATTTGGCTGCTTTTTAGTTAGAAACCAATTGAGGCCTGCCCTTTGTCTTTTTACTTATTAAAAAAAAATTAGCCCAAACAATTCATTGCAGTCCTTAAAAGTTTTAATTAATTTCTATGGTCACTTTATAAAACTCAATAATTAAGCAGGATTATGATAATTAAAACTGATTCTGATTTATGAGGATTGTCTGAAAATTATTTCAGTATTATTAGGCTTGGGATGGAAGCCTCAATAGTGAGTTTTTTCCTTTAAAGAAAATAATTGGAGGAATATGAAAACTATGGGGAAAAAAAAAAGCAAAACAAAACACAAAACCAAAACAAACAAAAAACCTTCACAAAACCACAACAGTCAGTGTCCAAATATTTGTAAGTTATAGTGAAACTGAAGCATTATATTCAGGAAGGCCAGATTTCCACAGTATTTAATTTATTGGGTGATAAATGATGCTTCAGCTGGCCCCATAATTGTTTGAGTGGCATATAATTCATATTAGTGTATCTATACCTGTTAGAGATTTTTTTCCTCTCCAAGTCTGCCTCTGATGTTTATAAATCATAAAGAATAGCATCCACTATTGTAACAGAGAAAGCATTAAACTACCCATTTATCTGGGATTTCTAGGCATTAACTAGGCATTAACAGCTTCATTTTACAGGCAGACTACTTGTAAAAATATCAAAATCTTTCTATCTACTTATAAAGCACCACACAAAAAAACAAAACAAAACAACACAAAAAACCCCCAACAACAAAAAGCATCGCCCTGGCAAGTTCCAAACACTTTTCAACAGTATATATATTCCTCGGAAGGTCTCTTCCTTTCCCCAAACAAGAAAATATGTTGAAATACCGTGTCCTTAATAGTTAAAGATATGGTTAAGAGAGCCGAATCTTTATCCATATTCAAAGCTTAGCCATGAAATTGTGTTACTTCCTTGTCTTTGAAACCAATTTACGACAAAAATACTTAAGCTGCTCACTCGGTTTCTGTCCTAATCTGAAGAAAACCCCCCAAAGAGTAAGCCTGCATTACGGGGGAGACTTTTTATCTACGTGTTTTATTTTAATTTAGAAGGAAAAACAAAAGTTTGCCGTTCCCGGGGTCTTTCTGGCTTCACAACGCGGGGTTTAAAACAGCTTTTCTCTCCCATCTGTGGACCAAACAGCAAGAAACTTGCCCGAATGAAAGTCCACCGTCTTCTCTTCACTCTCCGAGGAAACTGGGGTGATTTTGCGGCACTCGTTTTACGAAAAATATGAATTTATAACTCCGAAGAAACACAGACTCGGAGGAGGAAAAGCTCTTCCTGGCTAACAGTTAGGCGGGCTCTGCAAAGCACCAATCACAGATCACCGCTTCGCTATAAATTCAGGCATCGGGGTTACTGTAGCCCAATTACTTTCTTTTGATTAGGAAGAAGTCTCTGCAGCGATGTCGGAGACCGCTCCCGCCGCCGCTCCCGCCGTCGCGGCCCCGGCCGCCAAGGCCGCCGCCAAGAAGCCGAAGAAGGCGGCGAGCGGCTCCAAGGCCCGCAAGCCCGCGGGGCCCAGCGTCACCGAGCTGATCACCAAGGCCGTGGCCGCCTCCAAGGAGCGCAAGGGGCTCTCGCTCGCCGCGCTCAAGAAGGCGCTGGCCGCCGGCGGCTACGATGTGGAGAAGAACAACAGCCGCATCAAGCTGGGGCTCAAGAGCCTCGTCAGCAAGGGCACCCTGGTGCAGACCAAGGGCACCGGCGCCTCCGGCTCCTTCCGCCTCAGCAAGAAACCCGGGGAAGTGAAGGAAAAAGCCCCCAGGAAGAGAACAGCTGCAGCCAAGCCCAAGAAGCCGGCGGCGAAGAAACCCGCCAGCGCCGCCAAGAAGCCCAAGAAGGCGGCGGCGGTGAAGAAGAGCCCCAAGAAAGCCAAGAAGCCGGCGGCTGCAGCGGCCAAGAAAGCAGCGAAGAGCCCCAAGAAGGCGACAAAAGCTGCCAAGCCCAAAAAAGCGGCGGCAGCAGCGAAGAGCCCGGCTAAGGCAAAGGCGGTGAAGCCCAAGGCAGCCAAGCCCAAGGCGGCCAAGCCCAAAGCAGCGAAGGCAAAGAAGGCAGCACCGAAGAAATGAAGTGTTGAAGTGGAAATACTTTTAAACCCAACGGCTCTTTTAAGAGCCACCCACTACTGTCCCCAAAAGGGCTGATACACTCCGTCACTGAGCTCCGTGCCTGCAGCAGAGCCAACTATTCGCCACTATCCGTGTGGGACGTAAGTCTGTGGAGTGGATGGGACGCTAAACTTCCGGCCCTGGTTTTACACTAAGACTTGGAAAAATAAAAGTTTACATTCCCGGCGAAAACACTTTCTAAAGGTTGCTTTTTCTTTTTCTTTTTTTTTTTTTCTTTCTTTTTGAGCACCGCAAGCGGGTGTATATGTTAAAGGGACTGATTAAGGGCGGGTACCTTTCTGGGGCGTGGAGGTTCCTCTCGTTGCTCTAAACCAGCGCGATTCCGAGCAGCACGGACGCGACTGCCACTCCTCTCAGTGACCGCAGCAGGGAGCTGTCAGCGCGGCTCCTCGCTTCCCTGGCAGTGACCCTCCCGCTCGCCGGCGCGGGGCAGCTCTCCATTTCTGCGTGATTTCACCGACCTACTTTCCGCAGGAGGCGCTCGCTGGGGCGGGCGGCGGGCGGGAGTGCCCAGCGCGGCTCTCCGCGGGCTGGCGGCGCAGCGCGGCCGGGCGGGGCGGCGGGAAGGGCGGAGCGGCGCGGGAGCTGCCCGGGATTGGCGCCGGGAGAGGCCGCAGCCGCTCATTGGGCCGCCGGGAAATTCGGAAAAGCCCGCGCTGCAGGGGAAGGGGGAGGGGATGGAGGAAGGGAGGAAGGGAGGGGGGCACGGAGCGCTGCCCGCGCTGGCTCCCGGCCCACCCGCACTCCCGGGGGATCTCGGCCCCCTAAAGCGCCCACCCCATTCTAGGGGGGGCTCTCCCTTCCCCCAGACCCGTAGTCCTTGTTTTCTCATGCAAAATGTTTCGGCTTAAGACAATTCCCGAAACATCAATACACAAGGTAAAGGGGGCCCGGTATGTCTCCCACCGCCTTTTCATAAAAATCATTAAACGTTTTTTTTTTTTTTTTTTTTTATTTTCGCGAAGCATGTTTGCTGTATCAACTGTGAAACTTCTAATTTGGATAGAAAAACTTATAAAGTATTGTTTCACCTTTACTGTAAAAAAATATTTTATTGAAAAACTATTTAGACGTTTACATTTAAGAAGAGTGAGTACATTTGAATTACCTCTAAATATAAAAAAAAAAATTCAAGGGCTTTGTAACTACTATTGCAAGATTAAGTAGCCGACTAAATGTTTGTTTAAAATCCTACCTACGATTTTTTTAGCTAATTTCCATACCCAGGAAGACCGAGGCACTACAGTGTAAAAGCTCTTTTATGGAGTATGTGGGTGGCTCTTAAAAGAGCCTTTGGGTTAAAAGCGACGGTCCGAGACGCCCTACTTGGAGCTGGTGTACTTGGTGACGGCCTTGGTGCCCTCGGACACGGCGTGCTTGGCCAGCTCGCCGGGCAGCAGCAGGCGCACGGCCGTCTGGATCTCCCGCGACGTGATGGTGGAGCGCTTGTTGTAGTGCGCCAGGCGCGACGCCTCGCCCGCGATGCGCTCGAAGATGTCGTTGACGAAGGAGTTCATGATGCCCATGGCCTTGGACGAGATGCCCGTGTCGGGGTGCACCTGCTTCAGCACCTTGTACACGTAGATCGAGTAGCTCTCCTTGCGGCTCTTCTTGCGCTTCTTGTCGCCCTTCTTCTGCGTCTTGGTGACGGCTTTCTTGGAGCCCTTCTTGGGCGCGGGCGCGGACTTGGCGGGCTCGGGCATGGCTGCAGCACTCTGGCACCGGAGGAAGCGGAGCACACGGAATGGCCGCCGCGCCCGCTATTTATAGCGGCGCGTATGCAAATATCAGGGCTCAGAACCGCGCAATGCGATTGGTCCTTCCCGTGCCTGTCGCGTCTTTGTCGCCGATTGGTCCAGACACGATCCGGCCGCTCATTGGTTGCTCCGGCAGAGCCGGGCTCCAGCCAATCGCCGCGGGCTCTCCCCGCCCAGGGAAGGGATAAAAGGGGAGCGGCGCTTGCGTCAGGCTGATTGTGCCGGTGCCGCTCCGTGCCCGCCGCTCCTGCCAGCGCTTCCAGCATGTCCGGCCGCGGGAAACAGGGAGGCAAGGTCCGAGCCAAGGCCAAGTCGCGCTCGTCGCGGGCCCCATCCCCTGGAGAGAAGGAGGAGTGCCCTGGGCTGGGGGAAGGCAATTCCACTGTGCCTCCTCGCCGTCCCCAGGCTGCAGCTGAGAGGTTTTTAAGGCAGCGTTGTGCCATGGCCAAAGCAGGGCTTCAGGGATCATTTTTGGCCAGAAATACAAAGAAAAGAGCTGCTGGAGCACCAGATGAATCTTTTATAGTGATGGTATGTGGGTCTTAAGGTTTTGTTTTTAGGTGGACACGTTTAGGGTGGTAATGGTTTTATTATGCTGTTTTATTGATCATTTGCTACAGCTAAATATCTCCTGGCCCTTACACTTCTCTTCTTTAAAAACTGCAATGGTAATTAAATTTTTATTTTAACATGCATGAGCCTTCCATACTTAGTTTCCAGAAGAGATTTCTACACATGTGTCTGTCAGAAAATTTCAGTCTCAGAATGGTTTGGGTTGGATGGGACCATTAAAGATTATCTCATCCCAAACCCCAAACCCCTGCTTGTGGGCAGGGTCACCCTTCATAGCCCAGGCTGTTGAAAGCCCCGTCCTGCTGACTCTAGGGATGGGGCATCCTCTGGGGATGGGGACAGCCTTGTTCAGTGTCCCACAAGCCTCCTTGCAAAAAATTCCTAACTTATGTGCAATCTAAATGTGGCCTCTTTCAGCTTGAAGTCATTGTCCTTCCTCCTGTCCCTACAGGCCTGGGGAAGAAGCCTTCTGTACTGAAAGGCTGCTGTAGGTTTCCTCAGAACCTGCTGTTCCCCTGGCCAGACAACCACAACTCCCTCAGCCTTCCTTCATGGGACAGAGAACCCTCTGATAATTTTTGTGACCCTCTCTGGAGCTGCTCTGACAGATCCATGTCTTTTCTCATGCCAGAAGATCACAGAGCTGCATGCAGCACCCAGGTGGGGTCTCAGGAGAGCTGGGTGGAACAGGAGAATCACCTGCCTCGACCTTCAGTTCAGGCTGCGTTTGTTGCACCCCTTGTCAGGATGGGATTTCTGAGCCACAAGTGTGGATCTCTAGGTCAAAGCACTGGAATTCCAAAAAAAATGCCGTGGAGTAAAGCTGTCTAAGCAGGAGTTGGCTTTCTCTGTGGGCAGACTCCTGTTTGTGGAGTTCAGAGCTGCGAGCACAAGAGAGGGCCCCGTCCTCTGAGTGTGGAGCTAAGCCCAGCTATCTCCCCAAAATCTTCCTACCATCTGACCAGGAATTCATTATTTGCTCCAGAATTTCATTCCAAACTCTTATTACACTCATTTGTTCAGAGCTGCGAGCACAAGAGAGGGCCCCATCCTCTGAGTGTGGAGCTAAGCCCAGCGTATCCCCCCAAATTCTTCCTGCCATCTGACCAGGAATTCATTATTTGCTCCAGAATTTCATTCCAAACTCTTATTACACTCATTTGTCTTCTCACCTCGGCACCTGGAGTTTCATCCTGTGATGCTTTTATCCACCCCTCAACACTCCCTGGGTTTGTCTCAGGCAGCAGTGGCCTCACCAGTTGCTGACCCGGTGTTGCCATCAACAGTGATGAGGTTTCCAATGTAAAAAATCCCATAAATCAGATGGATTAAATGGCAGGAGAGCTGGAAAATCTCCTGGTGTTAAAGACAGCTTCCAGGCAAATTCCAGTGGATGAAGGAATGCAGCTTAGCAAGTCTAAATAAATGAATTTCTCTCATTTGCATAGGCAATAAGCAGTAGGAAAGAGGAAATCCATATCACATGGCAGCTTAGCTGTGTCACTGCGTTGCAATGCACCTTCACATTCTGAAGAATTTGTGACAAAAATAAAAATCTGAACCTGCAACCAAGGTCCCTCAAGTGCTATAGATCACTATAGATGCTTGGGGAGCACTCAGTAAGGCCAGACTATATATCAAAAGACTTAAAACTGCATGGTTAAATATTCTAAGAGCTTTTCTAGCACTTTTCTTCTATGTTGCTTGCAATGCTAGGAAAAATGTACCTATTTAGCCGCTCTTACACTACTTTAGTGTGCATATTATATATATATATATAAATATATTATACCTATTATGACAGTTACAGCAGATACAGATATGGATTTAAATTACCACTTAAGCTCTCAAGATTACTTTAGTGTGCATATTATATATATCTAATAAATATATTATACCTATTATGACAGTTACAGCAGATACAGATATGGATTTAAATTACCACTTAAGCTCTCAAGAAAATTATGAGCAGCTTTGAAGCTGGTTCTAATCCACTGAAGCAATGACTTTTTTACTAATTGTGTACCCTCTTGTGCAGTCGTGGTGAGATGTTGCCTTGTTGTAGTAAACAAATGCAATTTCCTCATTATAGTTTAATGAGGAACTAGGGCAACTGTCCTAATTAATGCACACTTGAAAAGCTACAGATTTTTAATTTCTTTAACAAGCTGATTTTTGCAAAGGTTTCCTTTCTCATTTAACCCCTAGTTTGTGTGCCCAAATTCATGAGGAAAATGTAGTTTCCATAACATGTGAATTGGACACTAAACTTTTATTTTAAAAAAATTATCTCCAATCCACAGTAGAAATAACTTTATTAGGGATTTTATTGGGCAGCAAAATTTTCTTTCTTCTCTTTTAAAATTATTTTTGCCTAAGAAAATGCTCTGATCCATAAAAAGACACCTGTGAAACATGTCTGTGCACACTTGCAGCAACACACAGGCAAGGCAGCCTTCTAGAAGGCATGATGATAAATTCTATCTAATGTACCACACCTATGGAGGAAAGGGCTCTGCAGCTGTTTTATTTACTTTAAGCTGCTGGTCTCAGCCTCTCCATCACCCATCTCTGGCAGAAATGGAAGGGGATTTTCCAAGTCTTGCAGTAGTTATACTGCTGGAAGGAAAAGTCATGCTAGGATCCTCACTCTGCGTTTAGGAAGCCTTAGGAATGAATTCTTGTTTTGACATACCAAAAGATTTTGCATCATTTCTTTCGGGTTTCTTAAGTAGTCAGAATGCTGTTTCTAACTGCCTCAGGAAACATAGCTGGACACAGATTTTCAGATATGAAAAACAAAGCAGACTTTGTGGAACCAAACGGGAATGTTGGGAACCAGCCTGGCAGGCCCACTACTGACAAACCTTCCAGCTTATAAACAGTCTTACTTCATTCTGTTCAGTCAAAAAAGCAAACCTAATCTAAATTAGAGATATATTTTCCTCCTTATACATATGAGTGGCAATTCTTTAAATTTGAAAGAAATAGGAATTCACAGTGATACTTATAAAAATATTTATACCTTTTTGTCACCAGTAACTGAAAGCATGACTATGTCAATTGCATTTCCTCCTGAATTTAGGGAATATTTTATTCCCAGAAATATTTTGGAGATGTTGCTGAGGTTCTCTACATTATATTAAGGAATAAGCTTAAATAAATAACTGCAAAATTTTAAAGGGATATGAAAAATTTTATAGCAGTAGGCATGTTTAACGGACATAATAATAATATAAGAATTGGCAAGCACCTCAGGCATATCAGCTATATTCTGTGCGAGGAATATTTAAAATCTTAACAGATTTAATATAGAAATACAGTCTCATAACTCAGTATTTATTCATTCACGTCACAAATGCATTCCAACATACTGTAAGCAGCCTACGTTTTTGTCAACTGTAACTGATAGCATCTCAATTGCATTTCCTCCTGAATTTAGGGAATATTTTATTCCCAGAAATATTTTGGAGATGTTGCTGAGGTTCTCTACATTATATTAAGGAATAAGCTTAAATAAATAACTGCAAAATTTTAAAAGGATATGAAAAATT